TTAAATATTAAATTAAATATTAAAACAAACCCTTTTGTAGTATTTAATATAAAATATTTGTTTCTTTTAACAAACAAATTCTTTTAAAAATAATTTTTAAGCATAATAGGTATTTAAACAAAAAAATATAATAACCCAATGAATATAACAACAATAAAGTATATGATGTTGATAAAAGCAGATGATGATGAAGAGATAACAGTAAATGAAAATTCAGAGGTTTTAAAAGAGTTAAATGAAAAGATTAACTATCTTAAAAAGATTGTAGAAACAAATATCTCAGAAAATAAAGCCAAAGAATCTAATTCTACTGCTGATGGTGATAGTGCATCTAAAAGTGTCAATATGGGTGCTACTAGTAGCCATAATTCACAATGTGAAAATAATCTATTATCAAACCCACTTTTATTATCTTTACTAATGGATGGTTCAAAAGACGATTTAATGAATAATTTTATAATTCAACAACAACTAACTAATTTAGGAAGAGGTAATGGTAATTCTTCCTCTGCAGGAACGGATCAGTTTTTAAATATGTACATGTTGACAAAAATGGGAAAAGGTGAAAGTATAAATCCAGCACTTTTATGTATGACAAACATGGGTAATCAATTTAAAGATAATACTTCTAATTCAACTGGTAACAATAATTCATTAAATAATTTACTATTATTAAGTAGTTTAATGAAAGAAGAAAGTGATCCATTCTTACTACAAATGTTACAAAATCAATTAATCAATAAAGGTGGTAATTCTTCTCCTACAGGAAATGAACAGTTTTTAAATATGTACATGATGTCAAAAATGAAGAAAGGGGAAAGTATAAATCCAGCACTTTTATGTATGATTAATGGTGGTAACATGAATAACATAACTGGTCAAAATAATTCAACATCTGTAAACGAATTGTTTATGATATTATTAAAAGACAGTAAGAAATGCTTAAATTGTCACTTGTGTAAAATGAATCAAGAATGTTTTACAAAGAAGTTGTTAGAAATTGGAAGTTATGCCTCAGTAAATGAAATACCAAAGATTTTACAAGAAATTAAATCTAATGGGTTTTTAAATGCTACATTTAACAATCTAAGAAAAAAGATAGGTACTTTTAATGATTGTCCAAAAAGTTCACAATGTAAATTATGTGAGATTAAAAACACTCCTATTATGATGCAATTACTTTATTATCCAACTAACAACAATCCATTATTTGGTAGTTTTTTAAACAATGATGAAGATGGGTATAATGGCTTATTCCCATTATTTTCTAATCCATCCTTTAAAAAGAATAGCAGTGATAAACCTTATGATAATTAATAAACTGGTTTAAAATATTTATTTTTATTTATAATTAACTATCTTTTTATATAATTTTTATTCTAATAATAAAGAATATATTAGTTTTTAAC